TCCTTCCTCCCGCCCCCCCCACCCTCCTCCGCGCCCCACAGGGACACAGCGCACTTCTTAAAATGGTTTTTATTCATAAACTTGATGCAAGTTTACAAATTACTGTACATTGCCAAGTAACTCTGCAATGAGAAATGGAACCCAAACCAAAGCCGGGGCTGCGCGCAGCGGTGGGGCCGGGCAAGCAGAAGGGCTGGGGGGTGAGCGGCGGCGGGGAGCGCGGCCAGGCCTCTCCCCCCGCTCCCGCCGGGGGGAACCGCATCCAGGAGCGAACGCACAGGGAGCCGCGGGTGCTTGACAGAAAATAAAGAGCACAAATCTGATAGTCGACTAAAAACCGTAACAAAAACATGCTTCTGCGCTTCTAAAAAGTGCTTAGTCGGTGGTACACACCCTCAGCTCGGCCCCAGAGGGGTGCAAAGGCCGGATGACGAGTAACTACAACCAAAAGAGAATGGACTCAGGTAAGGCAATGAAATACGGCGTAATTACACACACCCAGGTTCATTTCCTAACAAAGAACGAACGGTTCCCATCAGTCTCTCAGTAACAAAACCACCATCATGACTATGGCAACATTTCTTTAAAACCTCTGAATCAGATGATGTTTTTGTACTTTATTGTAGCTTTTATATAAAAATTTTTTTTCATCCAAGGACTTTCATCTCGATTTGTGCCAATCACTTTTTAAGTTCATTAGTTTACAAATGATTGCAACAACCCGTTAATAAAATGGAACACCTAAAAAGGTTTTTAGTATTTTAAATAACTTCAAGCTTCATACTGCGGCTCTTCATGTTAAGGAGGTTGAGCCAACAAGTAGCAGGAACAGCCCAGCAAGTTCTGATGCCCCAGTGGAAGTGACTAGTTACAAGGTTTTATTGGCACAGCCTTGCTCTGCTTAAAAAAAAAAAAAAAAAATCAACAACAAAACAACAAACAAAACAAAAATGAAAAGAACAACAAAAAATCCAAACCAAAACAAAATATTAACATAATCTAAACAAAGAGCATCTTTTCCAAGAAACAGTTCATATTCTCATACAGCCATGAAAAATGTTTAATGACTTAACATACATGTGTTTTTTCCTATATCATTAATTTGGAAATACTACAAATGCTGTCATTTTAGACCAGAAAAACTACTGTGATTTGCAAGACCTGACATTTCCTAAAACAGTATTAAACAATGTATTAAACTTCTTGGCTTTAAATGAAACAATACAACGCAAGTCTCTGCAGTCTGCATTTTGCAAAAGGTAAGAAATACACAAAAGTGTGTGAACAACTCACTCCTATTGAACAATCTTTAGTAACTCAATAGCCTGCTGGAGGGAGCTTACGCTTTCAAATAAAATTAAAAAAAAAAAAGGGAGAAGGGAGGGCGTGGCCCAAATACGCTTAATCCATAAGAACAAATACGGTCAAGGCCCAAACTGCTCAGTCCAGATACCTAAGAAGAGCGGAATGGTAAGGCTGTAACTTATACTTTACGTGTCAGTTGACAGATTATCCACTAACTTATCTAATAGCTAAAGTCTTCAGTACGGCTGTTATAGGGGCACTCATAGCTTGAGTCTGTGTGTTGGAAAACATAAAAAAGAGCTTGTTTTGTTGACATTGGTCCAGGTGTACAACAGTCGTCAATGTTAGCCATCTTCTTTTGGAGGAGTGTACCAGCCTATGGAGAACAGAGAAACGCGTTAGGTACCGGCACGGCTGCATCAAGACAATCTTACCATCTTACTCTGAGTTTGTGGGACATGGAAGCCTCATCTGGCTCCCTCCTTCCCTCTTAAAGCCAGCTCAGTCAGACCCAATGCCCTAAATCTTACTGGTCTGCAGTGGGAGATAAACACGTGACATGTCCCAGGATCAGACCCAGTATTTGGGCATGAAAACTAAACAATTCCAAGTCTGGGGGGCGTTTGTGGCAGCAGCTATCCTCAGCTGGACAAGAGGAAGCTGTTGAGGGAGGAACATTGCCATACCAGAGCCAAATGGAATATAGGTAAAACCCCCAAGTCTTCAAGCCACTCAATGCACAGACATACAAACACGGCTACACTGGGGTACTTGTACATAAATCCCATCATCTTGCCTACTGAAGAGGGAGGCGTTTGAACAGTTTATCCACTTCTGCAAATCCTGCTGTAGGAACGGGCTCAGAAATGTCAGTTGAATAACCTGCCTCTTGATAGGATTTGGCATGTTTAGCAGTTGAATTGTACCTGATCAGTCTGCATAGTTTTTTTTTCTAGCCACCTCCATACCTCCAGTCTTAATTCTCCCAGCCACTATTGTATAAAAATCCTCTAAATTTCTGTACAGTGAGTACGGGGCCTATCTATGTTGTCCCAGAGAACAGGAAGCAGCTGTAAGTTAAAGACACCTTTTGCAGCAGCAATAAATGCTGTGAATGCTTTGTGTACAGCTCCTGAGGCAGCAGTAACCACTGTAGTCAAGGCTAGCACATAGTTAGAAGTAAACAGACAGCCATGCTGGCTTTTGTGGCAAACTAAAAAAGCAAAAGACTCAGTTAATGGCAAGATCAAAATATCATAAAACTGGAAAGCATTTGAAAGTCGTTCTCTTTGATCTTCCTCCCAGTAGTAGAGAAGGCATCACGTTCAATTTTAGAGGTAGGGAAACTGAGGTGCTCACTGCAGTCACACCAAAACACACTTTAATGTTCACAGCAACATGAATTCCCAGAGGAGACTGTGTCCGACCTGTATCAAGCAACATCATGGAAGTGTAACCAGGACTAACTCCCTCATCATGAGACCAGGGCACCAAGTGCTGACTGCTTTTAAATCACGTATCAGCCACCTCAGGTCATTTGTTTTCTTCTCATCCCAGCATAATGAATACAATTATACCCAAAGCGCTTGAATATACTTGTTTCATGCAGCCAAGAGACCATTAACTGGCTTTAAATAGGGTAAAAACATAAATAAATGTGTCTCCCATTTCTATCGCAGTTTTTCTAGCACACTCTCTTGGACATTTTTTAGACTCTGGTCTTTCTTTCCACTTTCTCTCTCTTCCTTAACGATTACTACTACTAAAGTCTCACCACGCTGAAACAAAGCCTTTCAGGGGAAGAGGCAAACTTCCAGCAGGTACTTCACTAACAAAAAGTTTGCAAGACCTGACATTTCCTAAAACAGTATTAAACAATGTATTAAACTTCTTGGCTTTAAATGAAACAATACAACGCAAGTCTCTGCAGTCTGCATTTTGCAAAAGGTAAGAAATACACAAAAGTGTGTGAACAACTCACTCCTATTGAACAATCTTTAGTAACTCAATAGCCTGCTGGAGGGAGCTTACGCTTTCAAATAAAATTAAAAAAAAAAAAGGGAGAAGGGAGGGCGTGGCCCAAATACGCTTAATCCATAAGAACAAATACGGTCAAGGCCCAAACTGCTCAGTCCAGATACCTAAGAAGAGCGGAATGGTAAGGCTGTAACTTATACTTTACGTGTCAGTTGACAGATTATCCACTAACTTATCTAATAGCTAAAGTCTTCAGTACGGCTGTTATAGGGGCACTCATAGCTTGAGTCTGTGTGTTGGAAAACATAAAAAAGAGCTTGTTTTGTTGACATTGGTCCAGGTGTACAACAGTCGTCAATGTTAGCCATCTTCTTTTGGAGGAGTGTACCAGCCTATGGAGAACAGAGAAACGCGTTAGGTACCGGCACGGCTGCATCAAGACAATCTTACCATCTTACTCTGAGTTTGTGGGACATGGAAGCCTCATCTGGCTCCCTCCTTCCCTCTTAAAGCCAGCTCAGTCAGACCCAATGCCCTAAATCTTACTGGTCTGCAGTGGGAGATAAACACGTGACATGTCCCAGGATCAGACCCAGTATTTGGGCATGAAAACTAAACAATTCCAAGTCTGGGGGGCATTTGTGGCAGCAGCCATCCTCAGCTGGACAAGAGGAAGCTGTTGAGGGAGGAACATTGCCATACCAGAGCCAAATGGAATATAGGTAAAACCCCCAAGTCTTCAAGCCACTCAATGCACAGACATACAAACACGGCTACACTGGGGTACTTGTACATAAATCCCATCATCTTGCCTACTGAAGAGGGAGGCGTTTGAACAGTTTATCCACTTCTGCAAATCCTGCTGTAGGAACGGGCTCAGAAATGTCAGTTGAATAACCTGCCTCTTGATAGGATTTGGCATGTTTAGCAGTTGAATTGTACCTGATCAGTCTGCATAGTTTTTTTTTCTAGCCACCTCCATACCTCCAGTCTTAATTCTCCCAGCCACTATTGTATAAAAATCCTCTAAATTTCTGTACAGTGAGTACGGGGCCTATCTATGTTGTCCCAGAGAACAGGAAGCAGCTGTAAGTTAAAGACACCTTTTGCAGCAGCAATAAATGCTGTGAATGCTTTGTGTACAGCTCCTGAGGCAGCAGTAACCACTGTAGTCAAGGCTAGCACATAGTTAGAAGTAAACAGACAGCCATGCTGGCTTTTGTGGCAAACTAAAAAAGCAAAAGACTCAGTTAATGGCAAGATCAAAATATCATAAAACTGGAAAGCATTTGAAAGTCGTTCTCTTTGATCTTCCTCCCAGTAGTAGAGAAGGCATCACGTTCAATTTTAGAGGTAGGGAAACTGAGGTGCTCACTGCAGTCACACCAAAACACACTTTAATGTTCACAGCAACATGAATTCCCAGAGGAGACTGTGTCCGACCTGTATCAAGCAACATCATGGAAGTGTAACCAGGACTAACTCCCTCATCATGAGACCAGGGCACCAAGTGCTGACTGCTTTTAAATCACGTATCAGCCACCTCAGGTCATTTGTTTTCTTCTCATCCCAGCATAATGAATACAATTATACCCAAAGCGCTTGAATATACTTGTTTCATGCAGCCAAGAGACCATTAACTGGCTTTAAATAGGGTAAAAACATAAATAAATGTGTCTCCCATTTCTATCGCAGTTTTTCTAGCACACTCTCTTGGACATTTTTTAGACTCTGGTCTTTCTTTCCACTTTCTCTCTCTTCCTTAACGATTACTACTACTAAAGTCTCACCACGCTGAAACAAAGCCTTTCAGGGGAAGAGGCAAACTTCCAGCAGGTACTTCACTAACAAAAAGGTGACACTTTAAAAGCTACAGTATCAATAAAGTTACTGGATCAACTGGCTGAAAATGAAATTGAAATACCTTTCAAAAGACAGTAGGAACACAGCGAAGCTGGAAAAGTTGCAATGATTGTTAGTCCAGTTATTTTAAGTACTATTGTCTTCCTAGTGCAAGATGAGAAAAGGGAAATGCCATTTATGGGCTTCCCAAGCCAACCTAGGGCACTCTGGCACCACAAGTGTTACTGCAGCCAAATACCAACTCCCGGGTTGCTGTGCAGACAAGAACAAAGTCACAAGAATATACATACCATTTTTCTCATGTATTTGTACTAGTGACTTATAGGACTGTTGTGCTCTTGCTAGATTATATTGATTCTGAAAGGAAAAAAAAAACACCACCATAAAACCCCCAGCATCTAGACACATGAAACTTCAACACAGTTTTACAAAGAAACCACACAGTGGACTTACAAAGAAAAAACCATGCATGACGTTACAAACTTTCCTGCCTTTAAAGTACATGATTTTCAAGACAAATACCCTCATTTTTCCTCATCTCTCCTCCATCATAATGACAATGATTTGCATGCTCCTGCTGCTGGAAAGGCCCCTCTAGCCAAGGGTTTGGAACCCGAGGTCAGTGAGAAGGTGGGTGCAGCCAGGACAGGGGTTCAGGCAACCCCACCGTAACTCTGTCCTCCTCAGCTCAGCAGCCACCAGGTTAGACAGAAATGTGATCAAACTTTTACATCTCACTTAGTTCACTATCCTTGAATCAGTACTTAAAAACTGGCATCCGAGTGACAGTTTCATCGACTTAAATATTTAAACCTCCTTTGAAAATAGCATTTAGTACTTCAGTCTTTTAAGTTACGGCCTGTTACCAGCAGGCACACTTGAACTGAATTATGATTTCACTGGATGCTGAATGACTAGCTCAGAACTATTTGCATGGTATTATTTTTCTCCCTCTCATGAATCTTTGCAGGTGTTTAGTGCAGCAAAAGGAAGAGAACTCCTTAACATCAGCGTATGCGACCCTGGCAGTCAGGCTGTCACCTACAGCCCTTCTCATTTCCAAACCCTCCTGATTCCCAGTTCCAAAACCTCCTTCCCTCCCTGCCTTGCCAATACAGGTACAGTTACAAGTCCAGCTACTTAGAAACCCTGCCCACCCCAGGGTTTTATCCCTCCTCATACATTCATCATTTCTTAAACTCACAATTAATTGCCAATAAAATACTCATACACACACCAGACAGCAAGACAAATCAAACCACAAAGATATTTGCAATGACAATTCTGTCATTCAGCATCTTCTATTCAAGTCAGCAAAGAAAGCCTAACAGTAATTTGTGTAACCGATACACACAGCGTATTTACCTTATTGGCTCCAAACTGTACTCTGGCTTTTCCTTTGACTAAAGTGGCATTGATCTGCATGATGACTGATTCTATTGAATAGGCACTGCTCCAGCCCTGCAGGAGGAAGGAAATATTTCTATATAACATCTACGTGCTTCTTGTGCTCACCCTGCAAATCTATTTTCGAATGGGATATTTAGGGGTTTTTTTCCCCCTGCACTCCAGTTTTAGTTTTAACTACTTGTTTGCAATTAACAACTTTTCCAGAGAAAATCTGGAAAGTGAGATACAGTATTAGTGCCAAGAACCTGTAGGAAGAATGAAAATCCTAAATCACCCATTTCCAAAACATAGCAAGACAGAAACAAGAAGAGCTCCATTATTACAGCATTTTCACATTTTCAGCAACATCACAACAGAAATTACAACTTTTTGTTACAAGAAGCAGAGAAGACTGCCATCTAATGAAGCCATTGAGTGAGCTATGACCATTTTGCTCCCATGAAAATTACTTGCTTCTCTCTGGCATTGCTCTACCTTCCAGGGTTCAGCAAAGTTTCTGCCAAAGCCTGCAATTAGTCACTTCATTCTTTTACTTATTTTATAGAGAAAATCGATCACTTGGTCTACACAGGAGTCATCTATGCCTACAATCCTCTGCATTCCTCACTTCTCCAGAGCTGACTTGGTGCAGTAGCAGAGGCTTCTGGAAAAGAAAACAATGTGTCTTGCTCCTCAAAACTCACTCTTTACACTGGCTCCCTCCCAGAAATTCTGAAAATTCAAAGTTGATGTGCTCTTGCTTCTTGCCTCTTCCTCAGACCTCTTGCAAGCCATCCAAGGCAGGAAAGAAGATCTCACACAAGATCAGCAAGTTAAATCTTGTGGAAATTATGTGGTTTATTCCCCATGGAGTGTGTAATTTATTCTACACAGGGATTCTTCAACTCAGGGGAGGCACCTATTTCATCATTTTAAAGCATGCTTTGTTATTATCCAGATAACAGTCTGTGTTCACCTGTTTAGTAAGAAGTTCCATGCATAATGCACCTCCACCTAGGACATACCTAGAAACAGACATGAAAGAAAATATATTTGACATTAGCAATTAGTAAAAAGAAGGAACTGTTCACAGTGCTTTAAGCTCTCGCAGGCTAGTTTGTTAAATTTTTCATTCACATAAACCAAAATGGTCTATAACCAGTAATATATTGTAACTAGTTAGCCTTATTATATTTACACAAAGAAGATTAGCATTGAGAGACAAAAAAAAAAAAATCTCCTTTGCTAACTACACTTAGTTAAAATCAGTGACCGAGCCGGTCAGCACAACTGTTTACACAGCTCTACACAGACCATGAAAAAAGGAAGGTTGCTTTGTATGGCTACACAATGTATACATAGTACTGATGTGTAGTTGTAAAAAAACCAAAAAACTAACAAATTAACTTCTCTGAATAAACTTAGCACAATTCTTAAAAAATGTAGGTACACCTATAAATCAGAGAGGTAGACAAATGAGATAAAGCAGATCTTCACTTGCTCTTTTCCTGTAAGCCACTTCCTAATTTCAGTAACACTTCACCGTGGATTGTGCTGGCTGGGACTCAGCAGCCAGCTCGCCCCAACAGCACAAAACTTGGACTGAGGGAGCAGAATCTACCACTCCAAAAATGTAGTCTCCTCTACGATCAAGCCATTCAAACACCATAGATCTGTACGACACTCACAGGGAAGCAATCACAGAAATCCAAGCCTCCTGGGCCATTCTTTCATTCTATAAAGATGTCCAAGTACAAAACCAGAATCCAAATGAGTTTTTCTGGTGTCTGGCATTGCTTGTTTGCTTTTTTGGTAGCAGCAACTCTTGAGAACACTATTTAACTGCACAAACCATTTCTTCAATGCAAAAAAGGCACAGCAAATCAAATCAAATCAGAATCAGCACCAGCTTCCACAGACTGCATTTTGAAATGTACAGGTATAATTTCCTGTCAGCAGGAAACGCATGAAAGCCTTGGAAGGTGAATTTAATCTTCTCTCCATGGTTATATACGAGTTTCTGTGACACAGCACTTCAAACACGGTTTAGATGGCTTTTGTAGCATGGTGTTGATTAAATTTAGTATTTTTGGATTAGCATTTAAAGAGTTTTTAGACAAAAACTTTATGGCACTGTTACCAGAAAAAGAGAGTCAGTGAAGACTCTACTGCAAGTCTAAGGCAACGCAGGGATCAAGACCCCTTCAAAGCACCAACTCCAAACACCCCACTATTCTGAACAACAGGGGAACTAACGGCGATGTTAACCATCTGCAAAGAGGTCAGTTCTTAAATATCACAGCAGGTATAGAGTCTTCCAAAGCTAGACACAAACTAAGCAATTCAAAGAGGAATTGTGCCCAGCTCTTCACCTACTATTACTTCATAAAGCTTGAGAAGGAAGCCTTACATATCACACTTCGAGCTCTTCCCTAAATTCGAGGTCTACAGCAGCTCATGCATCTATTTAGGGGAAATTTCTTGAAGTCTACATCATAGTCTCAAAATGTTCCCTCAAACCCAATCAACCAACCTCAAGGTGTAACATTTTTACCACAAAGTAGAATTTCTGTAAGACAACTCAAACCTACCCTCCTGTGAGCACAGGAGATACCACTCGCACAAAGGGAGGATCAAAAGGGAAGTTATCCTGAAAAGCATAAAAAAAAACAGGTTAAGAAACATACTATGGCAGTGTTTTCCTAACCAGGAAATATTTCAATAGTCTTATTTGGGAAAGCAGATTTAAAACAGTAACATTTTTCAGTTCTGTAAAAATCACTTTCGCAGAGTACTGGCTAAAAAGCAATTTTTGGGAAGCTTTAGTGTCAAAGTTGCAATTTTTCTTTGTTTTTTATGCTACAGCTCCTTCTTTACCCAAGTAACAGTTGAGGGTCTGATTTCGTCACTTCCTATGGTAAGCTACAAATTCAACCCCAGCATTTCTTCCCATAGACACGTACCTTAAAAGAGAAGTTGAGTAAAATGTATTCTACACCTTCTTTTTCTTTTAAGACCTGAAGATCACTATGCAGTGGGCTGTCAGGATCAACCCTATAAAAGAAGCAGGGGGGAGATCCTGGATGAAGTTAATATTTTCACTACCTGTAAATAGTAATTACTCTTAAAGAGGTCCTTTATGTATCTGCAGTTTATAAACTGTAATTTGAAGTGAACTGTAGAAAGCTCTTGCCCCTTTTACATAGTAAACACTTTGCCATGAGATCAGCAGGAAAGGTTGCTGCAACGCGCTGCCTTCCCGATGCTATCAACTGTTATTTGAACATAGGTAGTAAAAAATAACCCATACATTGGAAAACAGCAATTTTAATTCTCTTCAGTTCACCAGAAATGCACATCCAAAGTGGGTGTGTGGGGAGATTTTAACAGGAAGACTGTAGTAACAGTAGACTGCGGTAAACAGATAGTGAATCCTTTATGGAATGTGTGATGACAGTTTTGTATCAGCTGCTCAAAGTAATCTGCATCAGCAGAAGTACTAAAGCCACCAGTTTTGGCTCAGCAGAATTTCAACAATTACTGTGGTAAACAGGTAGCGAATCCTTTATGGAATGTGTGATGACAGTTTTGTATCAGCTGCTCAAAGTAATCTGCATCAGCAGAAGTACTAAAGCCAGCAGTTTTGGCTCAGCAGAATTTCAACAATTGTTTGTTGCAAAATGCTGGTGGCGAGCAGCCTAGACATTAATTCAGACACTACAGAGTTAATCCCACCCAGGGCTCTGACACCCAGCAGCTTTTAAAAGAGACTAGTCAAAAAATGCCTGTGGCAAGCCAAAAGCAGATGTTAAAGGGATTGATGAGTTATTAAATACAAGCCTTTGCTACTGATGGGCTATTAAATCCAATCCTCTGTTACAGGTGAAACCACAGATTTATTAGATCCCATTTCAGAATTATTTGGGCAGATGGTCCCCATCCTACCAATGGGAAGCTCTTTTAGAAGAAAAGCTCCCAATGCTTAGAAACTCTTCATTTCCAGAATAGCTTGTACTAGGCCAGCTCAGAATTACTTGTTTTAGTACCAATTCTGTTCCTTAGGCAAACAGGCTCTTTTCTCTCTGACATGTGTATTAAGTTATACCTAAAAGTTTTGGTCCTTTCAGAATTACTTCTTCTAGTACCAATACTGTTCCTTAGGCAAATGGGCTCTTTTCTCTCTGACGCGTATTAAGTTATACCTAAAAGTTTTGGTCCTATGTGTCTGCTCAGCTGTAGAAATAGAGAGCTAATGACACTAGGACAGTTCTGTTCCTTCTTACATCTTGAATGAAAGTAGAAGTTCCATTTTCTTGAAATCAGAAACAAACAAAGCTAAACTGAAACCATCCAGAGAAAATAATTTCATAATTTAAAGTTTGTATTTTGGAGTAGTTTCAGTAAGGTAGCTGAAAGCAATGAAAGTTGCGGTAACACGCACTGTATTGGCTGTGCAAAGAGGGTTGGGTTTTTTGCCAGCTCAATTACTACAGTTCAACCTCTGCATGCATGACAGATTCTTCAGAACATGAAAAAGCTTTAATAACTTACTTTAGGAGCTTAACGTGCCATTCATACAAGCTGTCATTTACCAATTCCACTGAATATATCCCTGTAGAAATATTAGACAGAATTAATTATGCACTAAAATTTTAACAAGGTAAAATTTAGCAAAAGCATTATTTGCTTTTAAGTTCAAATACTGTCAGTAGATGTAAGCAATAGGTAAGATACTGATACATTGATACTGAGGCACATTCTTCCTTCAATAGCACAAGCACTTATGAGCAAATACATGGGGAAAGAAAGTTCTTTCACTTCTATAAAAATAATTCCACAGTAATCAAAATGTTTTTTCTGACACCTAACCATTTCCCCTCCTTCCAGTTCCCCTTCAAACTCTCCACAGCTGCAACTCCAGGTTGCTCAGTACATTTTATACACAGTACACGACCAACACACTTCCAAAACACCAACACACATTCTGAGTATGCAGCATTGTATTTCACAGGTTCTCCTCAGTACTGGCAGAGCAGGACAGGGCACTGGACACAGTACAATGTAGAAACCCAAGAAAAGAAGATAGTGCCTTGGATGAAGCACATTCCCAGCAGCTGACCAAAGAAGCCACAAAAATGGATCAAAAGAACAGCTGTCTCTGGAAGGCAGCTGGTGATTTTCAGCGGTTCGTTTGTTTGAAGCACATTAAACAAGAGTTGTGCATTCGCTCAAAGGGAAGGATGAAAGTTATCTGCCATTTTCTTGTACATTCAAGCTTGCTCTCTGCAGAAGTTCACAAGCAGCCCAGGAAAAAGCAGTAAGTCTTTAACCATAAGACAAGATTTAGAAAATGGTATCAGTGGTGTTCAAAAGTCTAATCTCTTCCCCCACAGACCATACATATACATGAAACAGCTATGATTAAACTGGCTACCTGGGCTAATATTTGACAGCATATCTGTTGCTGACGTAATTATTTGGAAGATGTATGCAAATCAGGAATCTGCCTAGGATTTCTGAAGTTTGTACAACCAATAGGCTACAGCCACCATACTCTCTCCAAGGAATTATATATATATATATTTCCAAGTTTTATGATTTTAGAATACATTACCTGGCAGTTGAAAGTTTTAGGCATTAGTACTTGAAGTACAGATGACATTTCAAGCTGCCCAGACACCTTTATTTCTAAACCATTCCAAAACTCAGAAAACAAGATAAAGAAGCTCTGCTTGTTTCTCCTTACTGCAGTGCCACAAACAAGTGGGTACTGCAGCCAAGAGCACAATTTCAAATTTTTCAAAGTCTGGGACAACAAAGTAGGTCTGAAAAATTACTCACTATGCTCTCAATGTCCCTTTTAATCAGCAGCTAGTTCAGAAACACCACACTTTCCTCTTCAAGGATGAACAGAAGGAGCTATTAAGGCCTTTTTCCAATTTCCGAGATCCAAGGACACTATTTTCTGGGTTGCCCTTAGTACAAGTGGAAGTCACAAAGCATAAGAATTTCAATTTGTTCTGGGCTGATGTAACAACAAAAGAGTTGACATTCAGAACTCTGGTCACTGTCAACTCCCATTAATCTATTCCACCATTATATCCGGAATATTTGCTTCCACCTACATCCAAAAGGAAACGAAGACTGGAAGAAATAACCTCAGTATTATGGCTTTGGCACCTAGCACGGGTATAAAATACCTGTTACAGAACAAGTTCTAGTGAGGATTCTGACAATATCCTAAATAATGGAAGATCACAAGAGACCTTCTATCAGCTTGTTTATTCACCGAGCCTTTAGCCCTATTCCTGCATTCCTTCCACCACCCTTAAATTCCTGCTCTTACCCAGAACTCCGGTATCAGTCCTTCAGCTCCATGGGCGACCAAGGTCCACGTGTTTTCCTAGCGTCCCCAAAGGAATAACTTTTGCTGGCCTTAACAGTTGTACTACACCTAAACCAGGGGCTGTAAATGGGTTCTCTTCAGAGAGATGTCATTTCAGGACCGACAAGAATGTGCCTTAACAGAACTGCAAGCTACTCAATCAACCTTTAAAGCACCCAGACTTTGAGCTCAATATTATCTGTATGTCCTCATGAACAGCAGCAGCATCAGGGTTGCTTGCTGTCTTGATACAGAAGCTTCTTAACAACACTATCCAAACTTGAAGGGGGTTTTGGTTGGTTGGTTTTTTAATAGTCAAGAGGTGTTATTTGGAACCAGCTCATATGCTTTTTTTCTTAATTTAGGCATTAAGAAAAAAAAAATTTACTGTCAAGAGTTTATCTGCTTAGTACCAGTTTCTGAGATGTCCTTAAGGTAGGAAAGGAAATCAAGGTAGATTACCCCCACTTAAACACAGGGGTTTTTTTGTCTTATTCCTCTAAGAGGCCATCCATAGAGGTGATGAAGTAAAAGCAAGCACAGAGAATCTTGAAGCAAGCAAAAAATTAAGAGATGAAAAGAAAATAAATCCCTTCCAAAATAGAGGCAATGTCTTACTTATAGCAACTTTACTACAACTAGAAGTAAATCCCATGTGGTCTTTAGGTAAAAGCGGTGAGTTCAAGTCATTACATACAAACAACACAACTACTAAAGATGTGAACAGAAAAGTTTACATTTAATATCCCCCAAATACTTTATTCCTCCCCTCCCTCCTGCCCCAAATTATGTTATGAGCTTTGTGAATTCTCCCATTTGAACTAACCAAATCCCCCACTTTGTATTTGGAAATGGGATCACCTTAGTCTGAAGGACTTGTGACTCGTATTATCAAAACAGGTTAATGAAACTCCGTCTGATTTCTAGCAGAATACCTTAATTTGCTGGAGTATTTTTCCTTCTGTTAGCTCATAAGAAAATAGTTTTCTATTTGTTTTTAAGGGTAGTTTTTCACCTAGATTTTCCAGGTGGATAAGCAACTTTCCTATTGCTTGCTTTCCTAAGCTTGTAGTCAACTTTTGCTTGAACTTCAACACTAGTATTTCAATCACTAAAAGAACTTCAGTTCTAAAATGGGTACTACCTTGAATATACACCCATAGTCAAAGTCCTGACAGTGTTTCTTAATGCTACTTTTTTATAAAACCATTTATGAGAAAAGAAAAAAAAAGTGAATGCCTATTACAAGTATTACTCCCTTCAGAAGTCCCAGTGTTGTCCTATTGTCATTCCTGAAAACACGTAAACTCAAATACACTAATTAAAGTGATCCTTAACTGAAAAGCAGCCTTAGATTTTCTGGCTTGTATTACAAAAAACTAAAATAACATTACATTACCTTGCAACAGTTACCAGAACCTTTAAGTTTCACAATTGTTTCCTTTGTGTGTTAATACACAGAAATGAAATTAAGGGAAAAAAGGACCATGAAGCAAGTACTCAGAACAAAGATCACATAAAAAAAGTAAATTATCTACCATGCCCTTGCTCACACAGTGACAGTTATCTAACAACAAAAGACAGAATGAGGCTATAAAAGCAGTTTTGTGCAAAGGAGAGGAACTGATATTTAAATTCACTCAAGTCCTAAGACTAAATGAATCCATAAGGAATGAATCTTGTTAAGTTTTATAATGAACAGCATAATTCACTGGCAAAATTTAATAAATGTATCAGTAGGATGGTGTTTCAACATCAGTTCTATAGTGTCAACCTCCACTTGACATTTTACTTCATTAACATGTTTTAGAGATCAACATACCACAGCCAGTTACAGTCCTTTTACATATTCCTGCATCATAAGCTAATAATGTTACTGTAGTCATCCTTTAGTATCTCAACTTTCTTACAGTTTAGCAAGATTTACTTTTCCTCATCATTTAGAGTATGCTTTCCTACATCATGAATTCAGTCCTTTGCAAGTAGTTAAGACTTGTTATTAATCTAAAGCCAAGAAATGGCATTATTAAGCAACCCAAATCCTCACCTCAAAGCACACCTACGACAGGGGCTTCTAGTTGTGCCTCCAGCAGAACCATGATGTGATTAAGCACCATACACTATTTATAGTCAAGTAGATTTGTTATACCTCATCTTTGTTCTAACCACAAAAAAAAAAAACCACCTTAGGATCATACCAGGGCAGTAAAGCATCCCTCCTGACCTAATGCAGGTCTATTTCTAGGCTGTTCCTTACACCCACTAATCCATTCTTTACTGGATAGATGGTGATTAGGGCATACTGGCAAGCACTCAGTTGCAATAAAGCCTAAAAGAAGTAGGCTACGTTGGATCAACACTAGGTTACTTAATCAAATTTATACTTCAGATATTTTACCACTGCTCACAGTACTTCAGCACAAAAACTGTTTACCTGAAAGGTAAATATGGCAAATCAAAACAGGAGCCTCGTGTCTCTTCAACTCTGTCCTTTTACACACAAATTAAAAAGCCACAGCTACCAAGTCAGATTTTAGAGGTTATGTATCCTGACTTCCTTTGTCTCCACAAATATAACGAGATTATATATAATGTATGTATCTATGTATTCATATATATGTGCACACACATATACATCTACACAACACGTATATACATACATACGATAACAAAACACAGAGGGATTAGCAGGAAGTATTTGCCAAGGGAATTCTTTTAAAGTGTATTTAAGAAGGGAAATCTGGAGCATTTTACCTGTTTTATAACTCTGTGATCTATATATATCCCTGAGTTCTTTCATAAGTCGATCTGAAGCCTGAACTGACCCAGAGACTGCACCCTGAAACAAACAAAAAGACTCCAAATAAGTGAAAAGTAATATTTACATCAAACAGCTTTATTTCCATTATAAAGTTACACTAACTAGAAGGTATAAAGAATATACTAATTTCTGTATTAGGATTAGATTTTTTGAAAAGTTACATATTCTAGCGAGCAAAGACTACTCAAAAGAAACAAGACACTCCCTCTAAAGCAGCACATTAATGTATACTGCTATATGGTATAGGTGATACAAACTTTTAATCAAGGTACAACAACTGACATTTTTCTGTGAAGGAGTTTCCTCTCTTTGGCATTTTGATTTCCAAGATGGACTTATAGTACATTTCTAATAGAGAAATATTTCCTTTTACCTTCTGCTTTTATGCACTGGAAGGAACAGTAAGACTAATCCTAAGAACAAGCTTCTGCACATAAGGTTTTACTATTTTCTCAAAAGTATAATTTTATTTGGTTATGAAAAAAAGGTACAGGAGTTGAGATAGAACACCAGCTTCTGGATAAAGTAAGACCAGCCAATGTATTTAGAAAATGCATAAGAAAAGCAACACTATTATTTGCAATAGAGAGAAAAAAATAAGTTAATCAGTCAACACCTACACAGAGGAAAACTAAGGTAAGTAAATCTTAAAATACTGAATATTTTGCTGTGATTTAATAAATTAATCAGTCAACACCTACACAGAAGAAAACTAAGGTAAGTCAGTCTTAAAATACTGAATATTTTGCTGTGATTTGTCACAGTTCTTGTGATGTATGCAACAAGGGTAGAAACCTCTTCAGTTCTTTTAGAGCTTAGTTCTGTATTACTCTGCATCAAAAAGTGATAGAAAGCTTAACATACAATTTCTAAACCTGAAATTTCAGCCTGAGATACACTGCTGAAGCAAAAAAAGGAAGAGATAAAAAAAAAAGAAATAAGAAAAAAGAGAAAAAAGAAAAAAGAGACCCTTAAGTGCCATGCATATAAAAATAAGACTAGCTCTAAAAACCGCCAGTTATTGACAAACTAATGAACACACCAATATCAAGTAACTGATGTCTACTCACATCAACAACTGCTGCACTGGATGTTTTCTGCACACAGTCTCAATGCTGACAGTTCTGTCCCCTTCGTATTAACTTCTGCCTCAATTTTCTCAGCTTTTAAGTGAGGACAGAACTTTTTCCTCTTACAAAATTAATGTGCTTGTTTAGAATGCCATAATCAGCAAGAGTACCTAGATTATTCTCTCCAGTGCCAAAGCTAGCAGGAAAGATTTTTATATTAAACCTTAGATGTTACATGATTACCCTGCTTACATATTCCACCCAAAATATGATTTTATATTCAAGATTTTTGGAAAGCAGAGAGATAAGAATTACAGTTACAAGATTTAAAATACAGAAAAGGAATGAGGACTCCAAATGAGATAAGGCAACTATCACCCTGAACCCCAGTCCTGTGAAACTTTGGCTTTCACCAGCAGTCTGTTTCCCAAAGGCAGATTATTTCACGAGACCTGTGCAGCTCTGTACTGCTGCTTGGACTTCAGTCACTCCCACTGAAATACAGGTTAATACACGTGGCTCATAAGCATGGTTTCAGGAGGGGAAAATAGTAAAAAAAGAAACCACCAACTACAAAAAAAAAAACCAAACACTAGAAAGCACAAAAAAGCCCCCACCTAGAATAAATTTAAGTTCAGCCTCTCTATATGAAGTACTAAATGATTAGTTTGAGTCTGTTTTCCTACTCCATCTAAAAATTTGACAAGATTTATTTCTTCGGTTTCCTTTCAGACACTGTGAATATCTACAGATAGATTTTTTTTTTTTTGGACAGAAGTGCTAGAGAAGTGCTTCAGATTCCTCCAGAAATAGCTATGACCACTGTCTAACACTGGAAACGTCATCCCTGTTTGGCTGAAGTCAACAATGATACATATTCTATAAGGTCTTAATTGTAGGATCAAATTATTTCTTAAGAAGGTTAAATACCAGTAACAGTTACTTGATGCTAAAGCCTCCATAGACTCCTTTGTCTTCTCTGATCAGTAGCATCCTATAATATGCTTAGCTTCACACTATATTGTGTAGACTACTCTTTTAGGCTATTCATTTTCATATTCCACTGGGTTTAATTATGCAGATTACTGAAATTCCAGTAGTTTTTCTGAACAGACCAGTATGAAGAATGAACTTTCTAATTAAATATGCAAATAAAAGGCAACTCCTTTTATCTGATTAAACAAAAGCTACACAGACACAGGGCTCCAGTCAAGTAATTTCTCAGTTTACTGAAGCCCCTGTCTATCGAGCAGTATCAAAGAAGGGATTTCTCTTCCTTTAACAGCAGCTGAAGCCCCTGTCTATCGAGCAGTATCAGACAAAGAAGGGATTTCTCTTCCTTTAACAGCAAGCAAATCAAGTTTTATGGGAAAAAAAAAATGGTAGATTATATACATTATTTGCAGATTACTATGATTTATACCCACTCTTTGCTGAGTAGCTGAAAAAGGAAGAGTTACACTCAACAAGTGAACATAACACAGTGCTAATGACCATTCTTTGTAAAACTGGTGTGCTTTTTCAGACCTGCTCTGGGAGCGTTAAGGTTGAGACTCATTCATGTGTTGAGTCTGGAGGAAAGAAACATTATAGAGAAGTGTCAATATTTTGGCTTTCTTCTACGCAGGGCTGTGCAATAGTCTTGCCTCATTTGCTGTACTGCTTACTGGAAGAGGGCATTTCTGTACATTTTTTACAGAATATCAGCCTTAGTGTAAAATAGCCTCAGTAGACTTTTTCTATAACTGGGTTTCACCTTTTTTTCCTAGGAGTTTCTAGTTGGGCTGCTCACTCCTTATACAGCAGTAATAAATATAATTAGACTTGCTAGTCTAAAGAGTCAGTAAACGGGAAACCAGTAATCTGTGATATGAGAAAGAGGTTAGCAAGCTTAACCTAAGGAGTTTAGCTCAGCAGAACTGAACTGAACACACTCTGAACTATCCTTGGAGGCAGTCAAAGGGGAAGCCTGCAGAGATTAACTGGTGTATCTGATGGCAACCTCAATGCCAAACACCACCGCTTTGAAACACAAAGTATTCATTCCAGTGTCACTTTTGGGTTTTGTAACTACTGTTAAAGTGCAGTTTAGAAGATAGTACTACTTGTGTCACATCATTGCGTGATATCGTAGAGCAGTGAGTTCAGTTTTGACTATAGTGGTAGTAAAATTAAAAACTTTAACTTTCAATAACTTGATATATGCAAGTTATAATTTCAAAGACTGAATTCAGATATAAATGACTGAGTATCCTTCTGGAAAAGTGGGACTTACCACTCCAAGGGAGATAAAGCTCCCACTTCTCCAGTTGTGTGATCAAGACTTACAGTCACAACTGCCTTAGAAATAACTGGTCAATCATGGGATCTGACAGGTATCTGTCATGTGGGGTTGATGACAAGAGCAGAAAGGCACAGCCATTTGAGCTGTAAACCCAAGAAGTTAAAAGAGCTGCCAGCCAAGCCCAAAGTGACTTTTTTCCTATGAAGTAGTCAAATAGACCCAAGAAGTCTCCCTTGATCATATGCTTGTGGTTCTCCAGAACAACGAGCAGGTGAACTGGAGAAATCCCTGCTACAGGATGTAAACATTTATGTGGACAACGTACTGTTTGCTGAGAGTTGCAAATAACAGAAACACATGGTGCAGGAGTTCCCAAAGCCAAAACTGTCAGATGTGAAAAATATTCATGAGATGCATCACTACAAGCTTGTCCTTTTCTCCAACTTGTCCCCCTAAGCCTGTGCTTCTGTCAGTGTCACAAATAGGAAATGGGTCCAAGTGAGTACAGGTGTTATATTTTTCAGAAGCGTTTCTATCCTTAATTAGTATATTAGTGTGAATGTATAAACTTGAGTAAAATACTTTCTAGAACAGTTAAGCAACCCCTAAGAAAATTAGGACTTCAAAACTGCATTTGCAAGTGAGCAGGGCACACAAAACCGTGCAGAAATCAGCCCAGCACACACCACTGTCCCAGCTGGCTGCTACACTGAGTCTCCAGAGATACAGAGGGGTTTACAGCCTCAGCTTTGCTCCTTTTCCCCTTCCATCCCTGAAAACACAACTACAGTCTGCTCCTTAAATGAGTTATCCGAGGTGGAAGGTGCAGTTCACTGCAGTTCTAAATCCACAGACCAGGTTGTCTGTTTTCTGTCTGATCAGAAAAAAACCGTCACACACCAAAACAGTAAGTAAATCGCCTCACTCACAACATGCTTCAGATAACTCAGCCACAAGACTAAAAATTACCTACTAAAACAACACAAAAAATGAAAACTCCTCCAACATAATAAAATCTGAAGTGACCCCGAAAAAGCTAAAGAATACAAGTTTGCTCTACTGTCATTGAACTTTCTCGGTATTTGTGCAGAAGTACATTCATTCCTGGAAGTGAAAGTACATTCATTCTTACTTCAAGGATTAGACTGAAAATGGAAATGACACCTTAGACTTCATAAAATCTGAAGATGAAAGTGGAGACATTTAAGACTTCTAAAGGAAAGTGCATAAACTCCTCAGTAGGAAATGGAAAAAGCTAATAGCATTATCTAAATAAGAAAAGCATTAATCTCTAAAATGACTATGTGGGGAGAGACCTCTGAAAAGCAAGCAGCAGCAAGTTGTTAAATATTTGAAGTTAATGATTCCAGTTCAAAGACCTTTTTTTATTCCCAGTAAGCAAGTGGTTCTTTAAAGTTATTACAATGTTAAGAGGAGGATTAATTCTTGCTCCAAGTTACATGCTGTACCGCAAGCCAAATTTCAGTTTATTTCCTGATGCCGGCAAGAAGAGGATTAAGGACACTGCCAAGGAAGACAACTAGTTTAGAAAATGAGCAGATACATATTCTTAACTTGTATAAAGCACACAAACACTAAAAACTCCTACGACAAAAGTCCTGAGAGGCAGAAAAATGTCTTTAACCATTTAAGAATATGCAAGAATGGGGCTGCATGCACTCCTTTCCTATGGAAAAGCCTTTAGCATGATCCGTAACTTCAACCTGCGTTACAGCTGAGAGGAGAGAGGATGACACATGGATTTGGGCCACAGAACACGTAAAGAAACTGAAAAGTCTCCTGATTCCGTTGGGCACTAATCAAAGCCCTCCATCAGGCTTCATGTTCCCTCTTCCAACAACAAGCATGTAAATTTGGGTATGGCTTTGTTTTGCTGCGAAACAAAGTACACCAGCAGAGCTGTGTAGTTTGTGTGAAAACCAGACTATTTTTAGCCACTACATTTACGTTTGTGAAACTCATGCTGTCCTTTAAGAAAACCCACTGTGAAGGGCTGTACAGATTTACACTTTATTTTATGTAAGACACTAAGCAAACGTCTATCTTAGACCATGTTTAACATGTTCTATTAAAAGCCCCACGTTTTGGCAGCATTAAAAGGGGCATTTAAATGCTACTAGGTTAGCTCCTTCCTAGGTCAGTAGTGCAGCTACAGTCTTCAGTTCTCAAGCACTTAAGAGTAAACCCTCAGAAGTCCTTTGAGAAATGATTTAAGCAGCACAGCTATTTCTGGTGACCCACAAAAGTGCCAGGGTTCCTCAGCAGCAGCTGAATACCCTGTTCCCTGGACTCAGCTGACCTTGTTTATGCAGCAGCAGCAGAGTGAGTGCCTTGGCAGGAGAACCAGCCCTTACGTAAGCTGGATCTGCTGGTGGCACACACACACACACACAGAGCAGCCCTCCTTTCGGCTCCGCTGGATGTGGAGGGGAAAACCAAAAGGAAAGGCAATATTTGCCAAGTGGGAAAGAACAGATAGCAAAAGAAACTGGCAGTTTTAAGAGGCTTTCCATACCGGGGAAGAATGTTGACACTGCAAAACCTGTTTTCAGTTCTACCATATTTTTAGACGATGGTAAAGCAGTCTGTGCCCTTCAGGGTGCCAGAGGATTTATTTTATTTAACAATGAAAGAGTCATTACCATTAGAAGTCTGAGTTATAAATACAGAATACACGGAAACTCAATAGGCATTTTCTCAAACTCTTCTCAAACATTTAAGTTTAAGCAAAACCAATAAGTGACCATTGTATCAGTCAAATCTTAAAACAGACCTGACTATACAACAAAAACAGTTTGGCATCTTAGGTTTACCAGCTTTTAAATACAGAAACACTGATCAGGTTTTGGTGTTTGCTTTTTTGATGTGTGTGTTTCTGTTTGTGGGTTTGGGTTTGTTTGGTTTTGTTAAGGGGTGATCATTACTGCACACTTTCCTTCAGACAACTGAATAGGTACCCATTGAATCCATACACAAATCAAAGAGCAGTCTCCTCTAGCCAGCTCTCTCACACTGCCTGTTTCAGCAGAACATTAAGTCTTTTTATTATTTTTGACAGGTTTGCACTCAAGTCATATTAGAACAGCACTGGGACAGGAGCAGAAGACTTGCAGTTGAAGAACTCTGAAGCATTTCTCTTACTTTGTGAAGCAGATGGCTATAAACTGACACTCTTTTCCATGTTAAAGCATTAGTCACTAAGAGGAAGAAGTTTTTCTTCTAAAGTTATTTAGAGACTGTAATTCATGACAAGAAGCAGTGAAGATTCTGCTAACTAAAGGAGCCTCTTCCCTAAATTCTTATGATAACTAGATCTATACGGAGCATACCCAATACAACCCAATATTAAAAGTGGGTTGGCTTGGCTAGTGCCAAGCACTTTCAATCTACATAGTTCTTGCTACAAATCAAAATAGGCTTACAACAGCAATTTTCTTGAACCTAGTATCATTTTTAAGCACCATTTAGGCTTTTTAGAAAATATTTACTGGAAAAAAATCATCAAGTATAAGAACTAGAAGAAAGCTGGTTCTTTGGGCAAAAATCCAGGTGTTCCCTACACACCGATGGTAAATCTTATTCCTTCCGTAAGTACTTACAGGTCCCCCCCCAGTACCTAACTACTGCTCACATCCTCAACTATTAGCTTAATGAGAAATAGCACATCTTGTGTCTGGACATGATCTACATGTCTGCTGACATGTAGACAGCATATAAAAACAGCATATAAAAACTTATGAGCTCACACAGTAGAGGGCACCAACTTAAGCACCTTCTTTCTGTACAGGTGACTTATGAAAGTTTTAGAACTTTTACCTTTGGTTGAAATTGGTCTGAACAGAAATACTGAATTTCATGCATTGCACATTTTAAGCCTATGTTGAAACAAGTTTTGATTTCTTTGGAAGTCAGACTAAATAAAATTAAAGTTGTATGACATCACCATTCCCTCCTACATGCACCTTTGAGAAGTAGAAGCTTCTCTGCAACCTGGCACTTGTGACAAAACATTTCTAAGCCTCTGGAGAACAGTTCTTTTTTACAACTGCCTGCTGGCAGGATCACTCAGAAAACTGATGATAAAGCTGCAGAGATGCTGAAGGCCCCTTGCTTTATGTCTGGCAAAAAAAAAAAAATTCTCAGTAATTTCCAAGCAGTGTAGATATTACTGAAAAACAAACTCACGCATAAAATGGATTTAAAGCACAAATTCCTGGGTTTACTAAGTATGTTAAGTCACCCATGACTTTTAACGCAGTCAGTTTTACATATGGCTTTCTGCGTTATTAAAATAAGAGCTCAGCAAGAGAAACCATGCTTAAAAGCTAGATGTTTTCTGTTGATTCTGCAAGGACTACTGTTTGTAACAAAGACATCAAGCAAGAGACAGAGGGACAACCAAATAGATACCTCTGAAAATCAGACAAGTAGTTAAGTATCATTAAAACTGTGAAACCTGGATTTGTATGTAAGAGCTGACTCTAGTGAAAAACAGGTGCTTCTTCGTTCAAAACACCAAGAATACCCCAACCCAGCTTGGGGTATAACAAAATGACAAAATAAATTATTATAGCGTTCTCCCAGGCTGAATAAGAGTGCTTTAAGTAGTTTTTGTACCTCTGTGGCATGTGGACTGACAACTAAATTTCTGTGCCAAAGATTCTGATGAAAGATGAGCCCATTTACTAAATGACCTTGGAATCTTACCTGGCCTATTCAAACTTGTCCAAAAAGAGCTATTTAGGTCCCATAACGTTTGTCCTATATATGGCTGGAAGTCACCTACAGGTTAATTTACATCTACCTGCATAGCAAGAGGTTTTATTTGCTGAAAATAATTTCTATTTTAAAAGCAAAGAAGAAACATAAATCATTAACTCACATTTAAGTGATCTTGCCTTTGATTTTTTCTGATTTTTTCTAAGATTGCAAGGTTCTCTTTTTCAATGCCTTCATCCTCAGATTTCTTCCCGTCAACTGGTTCCTCCTCCTTCATATCATAGTGATCCAGATCTTCAATGTCCTGCAGGATAGAGGAAAATTCCCTGTAAATAACTTAACTATGCTCCTTGTTCAATGAAACCCTCTCCAAGTGCATTTAGGAATACAGTCACATACTGCACAGCACTATGTATTAGTGACTGTTGGATACCATTTCCATTTTGCTCTCATTTCACTCTCTCAGCCAACAGTATTCACTGGAAGTCTAGGAAGCCTTCACAATACAAATGAGACCCAAATTCACAACGTGTTTCTGGTCACAGAAACAAGCACAATAAAACTTTTGCAAGACGTTGATTGTAGTGAATTAGCCCATTTAAATAGGTAGAAAAGAGGAAGTTAAGGCATTTTGAACAGGGCTTGAGAATCCGAAAGCACGCAAAGGTAGGGTGTCTCCAAGATGCTTCTAAAAGCAGACTCTTCTCAATTACAATCCCAGCTATATTACACTTCTGGCAAACAATGATTAACATATCTGGCAGAGCTACAGCAACCCTTCAAGAAAGTTAAATATTAGAAAGCTGCATGTACTTTATTCAAGGTGAACATTTCAGCTGAAGCTTAGATGCAGCAATTTTAGAATTAGGATATGAGACAAAATTATGCGGTCAAGTATTCTGGTCACACAAGCCAACATTTTCAGTTCTGAGATCTAGACTAAGACTCTCACTAATCGTCCCCTCTGTATTCTGAGACGGGGTTATCCTGTTGCAGAGGAGCCCTCTGAACTTAAGACAACTGCCTGTAAGGTGATTCAAGCGCTATTTGTGGAGTGGAGGGCAAGGATGTAAATACCTTGAGGTGAAAAAGAAAGCACTGCAGCAGCCACAGCAGCAAGATACAAGCACACAACTATCAAATGTGCTCCAACATGCTGTACTCCTCCACACCTATGGCTACTCTTTATGCACCATCTGTTTGCATGGCAGGAAAACCTGGCCATAAATGCAAATTCAAGGATGTCTTATATAGTAAGGAATGTACCTATCTGGTGCCTTTTAAAACACTGTTTCCACCAGCTGTAACAGATTTTAGACTGAATATTCTTTAAAATGCTCCTGTTTCTCAGAAGAGCAACAGAGCCCTATGAACCATAAACTGCTTTTCAATTTTGAAATTGGACCAGGTTACAAGTTGAAGATATGTGCCACACACAATGCCACCTGGTAGCTTATAAATAATGACAGACATGACAAATTTTTGTCTAAAGTAACCCAAACAGAGTGCAAAAGGCTATTTACAAGTCTGCAAGCAACAAAAGCAGAATATGGGAGCACATACACTAACTTTACAGAAACTCTGGCTCTAACAATTGTGGTTTGGATCAGGCTAAATATGGTGTAAAAGAGGCTACTTCAAATTAATTCCAGAACATGGGTAACAGTGAGCTCTTCTCTAAAGGAAGACTTTCTAGTCTATTCAAAGAATGAGTTGCTCATTCTTACTACACACCTTCTTCATTAAAAATTTAAATCTGAAGCAGTCAGAACAGTTCTCCTATAATAAGGCTATTTCTAGGGGTTTAAAAAGCAAGCATCTTGGAGCTATTCTAACCTGTTGTAGAAGTAATTGAAAGGTTCTCACACAGTAAAAAGCTCATTAAAAGCCATGCATCACCAGACACTGACATAAACCCCTTAAAGTTTAGCGTGTCCGTTTTGGATGTCTTTCCATTTCCTTCAAGGTATTATAGTTAAAAACTAGCTCACCTGTTTAATAAATCAGACTCTTAGCCAGCCTGCTTCAATTTGGGAGGCACTTTCAACTGTATCAGAGCCAGTTCATATGCTGCTTGAAATAGGAGTTAACAATGCAAACTTACTGATTTGGCACACAATGTTACGTATTGTTTGACTAAAGCACAAACAGATGTCCAATTCTCTGTATCCAAGTACCTCACAGCTGAGATCTAGGTTTAAGAAGAAAATTTCACTAGTTTTGGTGGTTGAAGTGAAAGCTGACATTAAGGTAAACATCCGAATTTTTAATTATCTTTTCTGTTGAACTCTAGGAAGGTCACATTTTACAGTTTGGCTTAATAATTAGCCAGCCACTGCAGAGCAAGATGCCAGAATTCTACTAGGCTAGGATAACAGTCTTCACATACTTCACCCATATCTTCTTCTTCCTCCTCTTCTGATGTAACTTCTTCTGTCGTTCCATTCTGCAACACAACAATGAGGTTTCTGCATAAATTGTGCATTTGTTCCTTTCTTTCAAAAACAGGAAGTCTACTATCAAAGTCATATATACAAAAGTTACACCTATCAAAGTCTGCAAAGGACTGAAGTTTAACAGGAAAGATACACAAAGATCCTCTCCTGGAGTATGACTGCAAAGAGACTTCTGCATGAAGCAAAGGTAAACAGAGTGTCACAACTAATTTCACATTAAGTTTTAAGTGGAAACTTAAGATTCAGATAAGGATATCCTATTCTGAGAGCAGGGACAAATGTAATAAACAAGTCAAGCGGGTTATAACTCATGATCTCTTAACCATGAAATCAGGTCATGGCTCTGATTAGAATCCGTACACATGCTAAACCTCTAAAAAGAAAAAAACCCAAATTTTAGACCTCTAAAACTTAATGGATTTTTGTCTCAATACCTAGAACTGTTATGCAACAACTCCTATCATCATATAGCCATTGTTAACAGATTATTTGATAAAATACTAAACCAATACATTAAGTACATTTTTCATGGCTTTCCATTTCAGGATACTGCTTCCAGCTCAGGAAGCCTGAGCTGCAGGAACACTCAGGAGTGTTCCGATACGCCTGTGCTCCGCTTACTCTTCCTTCAGCAAAGAAGGAACGCCACTGCTTAGGCAATGCAGGGGACTAGATGGATCTCTGGTCCAACTTACTAAGGCCACTCTTATTTAACTTGCAAATTATCTGACATTTCTGGCTAAGAAACATTCCATAAGCTTGTTTTTGAGTTTCTGGGCATAAGTAAGCCTCTTCAACGAAGCTACTTCCTAATATTACAGGCCTATTGCCTTACAGTTGCACTGCTACGTGGGTGGCTGAGACAAGACCTATAGGATTACAATTTGGCACATGACCAAAATTAAGCAAGTTATTTGTCATTACTATAGTACTGTCACCACAGGAAAACCATCTGTTACGCTACAGGAGTTTTTAGAAATCATGTCATCTTAACATGTATAAGCAAAAGAAGATATCATAATCTTATTAAAAATACAAAAGAAAAGAACAGTTACTGACAGTTACCAGTTCTGTTTTCAGTACAATTCAAAACATTTTAGTTAACCAGAACATTTCACAGCCCTTCACAGCTCTTAATTTGTCAAAAGCACAAAAAGTAAATGAGGCACCTCAGACACTCCCTACCCAAAGTAGCATATGGTCCTGATATCCCATGTCTCTGCAAGGGATTGAAGAGGAAGGAAAACATCAATAGTAGTTCGTACAAGTGCAGACTGTAAAACATACACTCTTCAAGAAAAAGCAAACAGTGTTAAATCACATTTACATTTCAGAAAAAAGTATGTTTTGGAAGCACTAGGAATACACAGTGATTGGCTCGAGCAGTATTTAGAAGAGAATTAAACCGATAGCACTGGTATCACATACACACCTTTCAATGGTACTGACACTCCAAAGGAAATTGTGAAATATTATCAACACCATTATTAAATGGATTCTGCAAACAAAACTCAGATTGAGGACACCATAAAGCAACAGCTTCATATCTCAGTTCTGGCTTACACAAGGTTTACTCCTTCCCAACATCTTGTTTCTTGGAGACGAAAAATCAACTCCTTCATTGCCATAAGGAGGTGTCCACAGCTTTTTAATTTACCTGTCCAGCTGGTAACGGCTGATCTAACATTTCAACATCTGGATGCTGAGGAAGATTATATAATCTGCAGAGGTCACATATTAATCGCTTCAGCTGTTGAAGAAGCTACAAAAAAAGAAAACATGGAAACATCTGTTCAAACCAAAGCACAGAACAATACACTTTGAATTTTCTTCACTGTTGGTACTGAACTTTCAGTGACTGTACAGCATTTAAATCTGCACACACTGGAATAAATCTTAAAGACCCCTCTTTTTGCAGTAGTCATTGTAATAAAATCCCTACAATGGGAAACCAAGGACATGGCAAGTTAAAGATGGCTCCCGTTCATCTCCTCGTGTCAAGGTAAGGAAGTCACGAGCAAAAGAAAAATCTGCTCTGGCAGCATCATCCATTCCAGGCATAGGTGTCTCAGCCACAGATCACTAGGGACTAATCAAATGATCATATTCCATGAGACAAGATGGCCCATTCCAGTTCTGGAAGTTAAAGAACCACATCTTCAAGAAAACAATGAGGAACAGTCTGATTTTCCACAACCTGAATCCCCTTCTAGGTCACACCAGTGAGGCACCAGAAGAAAGACAAACACTGTACAAGGCAGAGAAACCAGCCAGTCTCCAAGCTGGAGCCCAAGCAGTCTGCGTGTCGTATCTGGTATCAGGTTGAGGCACAATCTGTTACTATCACTCATTTCTTTTTCCAACTTTCAGCCTTACATTGACTGCGTTCTGTTAACTGCAAAATATGGAACACCTTTCACTCACCTCAATGCTATCCAGAAAACATTTACTTCTGCAGAAACAGAGAAACATTTGGTTTGCTTCTTGATCACCATGCTAATTAAGTGGATTTCCATAGCTGTTAACCTTCTCTAGGCAGCCTCAGGTTCCTAGTTAAGGCCAAGACCACTGAAGACTGTACTACTGCATCTCCTAACTTTTCCAGGTCTTTGCATAGTTACACCAGAAAAACAAAGAAAGGACTGTAGAGTGTTTGCAAAATGGTTAACACTTTGTTATTTGCATAATAATAACCTAGATGAAGCTTGCAAAAATTATACATCTATTTATGGACTTTTCTTCCAGATACCAAGGGAAGTTTGTCATGTAGAAAGCAGCGAGCAAACCAGCCTTTCTGTACACACATCCCTCAGCAGTGACACTTGGAGCGACAACCTCCACTGCCCTTTAAGTATCACTCCATAAAGGAGGGAGACGCAGGCAACGTGGCCTCAGCCAAGGTACAGCATAGACTGTATTATCCTGAAAGAACAATACTTCTACAACACTATTTGGTGTTTGAATATTGTATTTCTTAAAATATACAATAAATTAGGGTATCCAAAAAAAATTTAGTCACTCCAAAATGTTCTACACGTCTAAAGCCTTGCTATTAGTCAGCCTAAACACTCTTACCTTATCCTACAGCAAGTGAAAATTCAGCCTCTCCAGGGTTAAGAACTCATTTCCAAGCCCAAATCACTAGCAGTGGTAAGCAAATGTTGCCCACATGCTATCTGAAAGTTTCAGTGCTTTTCCCTTCTCAATGTTCCTGTTTAATAGGAATGTTATTTATTCATCAGAGGCCATGGACTGCCGTACCAGGCTGCACTACAAGAATTACGAAGTTCTCTCCTAACAAACATGGTGTGATGTTTCTGCATCATTCCTGTCATCCTTAACTCAAAAATAAAGCAGATGACACCAAAAGAACTGGTGTATCAGCAACACATTTCTTGTGAGTATATACATGAGATGTGATACTTTTATGTTGCCAGAAGCTGTCTGTAAAAATCACATTTCTCATCAGTGTTAAGACTCTACACCTGTTTGAAACTTCCTGGGTGTCTGAAACGTCAGGAAATCTTTAACAAGCAGAAAGCAGGTTAATCAATCAAAAAGTTAGCTGTTAGACAGAACCACAGGTCTTAGAATTATTATTCTCAGTACGTGTAAGATGCTTAAAGTTGCACTGCTACACATTTTGTTAAGAAAGTTTTTCTCTGCACAAACAACACTTCTTCATGGAGAGCTGGACTATAAACCGTAACTTTTCAGGAACTGTGATTTCTCTCAGCCAGCCACGTAAAGCTAGGCAAGCCATTAATTTGTTTACATCTGTTGTGAAGCATATAAAAAATTTAAATGGTGGGGAAAGACCACCACCAGTGCTTGGCTGGTCCAAAGCTTGGAAAAGCAGATGAACACAGTATTAGATGTGTCTCTTCAAAAAGAGACAGTAAGGGCTGGGGAGAGAGTTAAGAACTGCTACCTGCCCTGCTTACCCCATTCCCCATCATCTCCACGACAAGTCCTGTCACCTGGATTCAAATTTGGGAGGAATCTTTGGGACCAGGACCTAATACATTGTAAGCTTCTCTCACTTCCTTCTGAACACAGCACCACTGCGAGGTTCACAGGTGCTCTCAAAGCAACAAGCTGCTGGCACAACCTGGACCAAATTACACCGTGGCTGTGCCTGGAGAGGTGTCTCCTTGTCTCCAGCAGCACATTTGCACCAGCACCAGAGATCACACAACCACCCAGCAACTTACAAGCTTCAAGGCAGATCAATTCCTGATGTGCTTCAGCACAGAAGCAACAATTTCACCATAAAGGGGGGGGCAGGAATTTGCAGCTGAGAGCAGGGACCCTTCCTTGGCAGCAGTTTGTGCTTCAGGGCGAGCTTCACGCAACTGTCAAACTGCAGTTTCTTTTCTACAGCTAAGCTGTTTTACTTGATGTCAGTCTCTACAATCTGCAAAGGTGGTGGCAGAGTGAGAAGCTGACCCCACCTTTACAAGCCTTTGTCCTTATTGCTGTGTTTTTCCTCCACAGGAGTTCATTTCATACCCTTGATCCTTCTGCCACAGGTCACCATCACCACTATCCCTACTGCTCTGCTCATATGTATGAAAAACCATAGGATCTGATGGGCTGAAAGGCACGTCTGGAAGCCATCTGACCCACCCCTGCTCTAAGCAGGGCCTAGCATGATTTGGTATGTATTGAGAGTACATGAACAGACTATACCAAAAGGGAGAGCAGATTTCTGCCATGTATTAATAATTTAAATGTATTTCCAGGCTAACTTCACATGCTTGGCTAATGTAAAACAAATGCTTAACACACACTCTTTGCTGCTACTGAGGAAAAGTATCAGTACACTAATAGTTTCCCTGGAATACAAACTGCCTAAAGCAGAAACTGAACAGCAACTAGAATGAATAACCCACAGGGTATTAAAGGAGCAATGTAAATAGCCTGCATAAGGTAAATGCTCAAGTGACCAGATACAGTGACAAATTTATAAGTTAATTATATTGATTATAATTAATATAAGACCAACAACAAAATATAAAAATAATATATACATCTATAATATAACTTCTAATGCTTCAGTTCTGAGAAGTTGGTAGTTCTTATGGACACCATAATGCTGGTTTAGAACACAAAACCAACTCAAACAATTTTTGTTTCCCTTGTTAACATCTTACAAACCTGAAAACAGTTTAGAACTGTTTCTGGAAACCTATCCTACATTAGAAGGCCTTTTTATACATGAAGAAATCTTTCTAATGCAGTATGAAAGCATTAATAATTTCAGGATAACCTTTAATGATATTAATATACTGCTGGGTTCACTAAGAAGCTCGTTGTTTTCTAATTACCAAGGAACATGGACTGATGTAGTATGGTGTAAGTATACACACACTTATTTTTCCTACCTGTTTCTATATATGTACACACACAGAGGATCTATATCTATACATAAATAAATCAATACACCTTAGCCTACCACTGAAGGAAACTGCTGAAGAAGGACACAAGAGGAAACAGAGGGAAGAAATAACTGTCATGTGGAGTGTGGCCACTACTCAGCTGCCAGTTAGTCTGTGACAGTAACTGGCCTCACGTACAGTCTGCAGCTTTGGGCAGTTTTCAGGAAGTAAAGCAAAACTTCTTCCTGCATTTTGTCTCTACGATACATTATTAGTTGCTGCCGCATTGGTAGTTTGCAAGAGCCAGCATTCTTTCCTGAAATGCAATCATGTGAAATCAAATCTACATTCTTAACACAGAAGCAGGGTGCTTAGGGACAGCAGCTTACCTAAGTTGTACGCATACTTATATGCCAGGAATTCTATACTTTTGAAGTCTTCCATGCAAGTTTAAGCCGTCAAGGTTTGAATAGTGTGAGGATTGAAGCTGCCCATCAGAATTTAAGTCCATTTCACTATTTCCTTTCAAAAGAAAATCTCCGAATCATGTATAGTTATATTTAATAACCCACGTACTAAAGTCTGAGACTTTAGATGCACAACTATAGCTTCCCTTATATTAAACAGAACAGTAAAACTGAGGTAGGATTTCTCCTTTGCATGGCACAACCACTAGAAGGCAGCTGGCAGTTTCAGCTACCAGCACTGATGCACAGGATCTGAAAGGGAATTCAGGAGACAGTAGGGGTCAGAGAGGATTCTGTAGCCCCTTTATCTGCGGACTGGAACCTGTGCTAGCAGTGCTTTTAGCACACGCTCGCTGCACTCAGTTCAGCTCCTGGAAGAGTCCAATGCAATTTCCCATTCAAAATTTGACTGTTTCAATAACTTAATGAGTTTAGAGCAACAAAGCAGAAACCATCCTTTAGACACAATAAATTAAATGAAAAATGGTTTGAAACATTCTAGGAGTCTAAATTTAACCAAGTTTTTAGGAGATAATGTGATAAATCAGAAGCCTCTGGATCTCTACAGGTTTCTTATCCCTTCCTACCCTTCTCCAAGGAGCCTGAGTGTGAGTTCCTCCCCTTCACAGGTGCTGGTGCAAGTGAGTTGCAAGAGGAAAAACTGTAGGGAGAAAAAACAAACCCCAAACACACAAAGCCAAGCCTTTTGAGCAAAACAAAGAAGTCAGATTTTGTAGTCTAAGTATTTGTCTCTCTTCAACCACTCCCATCTGTCTTCATCTTGGCGTAACACGGTGTGGGGTGGATTCCTGAGAAACCAATGGGCCATCCACAGGTGTCTATTACATCAACCCACCAGCTTTTACATGGGCAAGTACCATCTTGATATCAGGAGCTGTTTTCTTACAACGTACATAGGCAATCTATGTGCACATGTAATTCAGCACAGTAAGTCCTATGGCATGTTTGCAATAAAGCTTTCTACCCTATTGCAAGCAAACCTGAAGGTAGTTAAACATAGCAAATATCTTGTTTAAAAACTGTAGTCTGAAGCCACTAGTTCACACCAGATTCAAGCTGGTGAGCCTTTTGAAAAGTGCATTGAAGAAAAATGTTGATTTGTGTGTTAGTTTTCGGATTATTTCTGACAGAAGTCAAATGTGTCTGAAATATTCTTTAGAAAAAGAAAGTTACACATCCTTATTTAAGGTCAAATATGCTTGATTAACATTATCCCAATAAACATTACAGGTAAGTGATTTCATAAGAAAACACATTCCCAAGTTTTCAAAAAACCAAGGCACACACTAAGGCCAGCACATATTCCATGCAAGAAGCAGTATTCTGCAGATTGATTTGCTTTGTATGCATCATGTGCACACATGCATTCCTTATGCAAAAATAAACAAAAAATGTTAAAATAATCTGTTAATAAATATCATCTGTAAGGGCTATTTAATATCCATAAAGCTCAGTTTGGAGAGGAAAAAACACACTCAATCACTGAATGTGTTAGTAGGTTGCACTAGTGCTCTTTGTGGAACAAAGTACATTTGTACTGAAATTTTTGCCCAAGTAATACTCAAGGACACTTGAACAGAATTCAATAATGGGAAGCTAATTTTTTTATATGTGTATATGCACTCACACAGCTCCTATCACTACATCAAAAAGCTTTTTAAGGAAGATATAACGCCTGATAGTTTTCTGAAATTCAAAGCTACCATTAGAATCTGTGCAAACATTTTCTTTAAAAAGCAATCATCCAAAATCATAACAGCGTTCAAACTTATCACTATCTAAGGAACATTCTGATGAACCAGAAGCTGTCTGGTCAAGTCGTCTTTACTGACATTAGGAATTCTTTGTGTTAGCTACCATTACAGCCATGTTTTGGAGAATATACATTCTCAAGAACACAAAGCCTTTCCCTCCATAATTGATCTCTGTGCAAAGAAAACACTAGAAGAGCTGTTCAATTCAGTAGTTTTAAGTTCTCATGCATTTCACCATTCAATTATTTTCAGAAAACCTTAAACTGTGCAAATATTGGGGCTGAAATTTAACTTTTTTAAAGATCAATCATTTAAATCATCTTCTACTCCTTACCCCAAATCTTTCAGACTACTTTGGTTTCATACGTTTTTAGAAGAGACACTTGTGTTTACAAAACCCTCAAATAATCCCAACTAATGTAACTTTTTGTTAATGTGACAAAGCTAAATAAACACCCCAAACACCTAAAAAACAAACAAAACACTTGCTCACCAAAGTATTGCTCTTCTTAATATCTTCTAAACGCTCTAAGACTGAAGTCAGGTTTGGGTCATCTGATTCTACAAACCATATTGGTGATGAAGAGGGGTAAGACTCCTGTTAAAAAAAAAAAAACACAAAACACAACATTAAAGACTCAACAAATAAACAAACAAAAAAAAAAACCCATAAAGCTTTTAAAACTCGTTCACACCCAAAATTTCACAACATAGTATTAATATTACCTTTTATCTTACTCTAAAGTCAGGTAAGATAGAAGCTTTTAACACAACATTTTTAGGCAATGCAAGAGAAGTTGAAAGAAATTCAGCCAACTGGTTCTTCTAGTGTTTCACCCTATTTTCATCTTGAGCAGATGATGGACATAGATAAGAAACAGTGCTGAAAAGTTTAAAACCCCGGAGGCGAGTGGAGCAGGAGGGAGAAATTTAGAAATGTAGTACAGGTGATTACCAAAAACTTGAAATCACAAGCAGTACATGTCAAAGAATAAGACTATATTGATGCCGATTTTTCATAAAAAAAGAGATTCTTCCAAATAAAAGCTGTGAAAGCAACTAAGGCTGGAATTCTTTAGATTTCTTCCTCAAAGAGGATTATTCAAACTGTTCTAGCACTGGCCCTCAGACTGAAGCAACAGAACTTCGCCTCCAAGGCAGAAGATTTGACCTAACAGGCAGATCATGATGCCAAAAATCTGTAGTTTTATCTTTGTACCATCAAGGCTCATACAGAACGTTCCACTGCTGAAATATTTCTCAAACAATATATTAAGAAAGCTTACAGAGTAACTGTCTTCCATCAATAGAGTCCTACAGTTGTTAAGCAGGTGCCAACACATCCCAGTGACAGTGAGATCAAATGGGTTCACAGGATTAGAAGTGTACTCAATTTTCCAGAACAAGCCACATACACCATACGGAGCAGATGTGACCCCCAACCCCTCATACAATCCATGACAAGTGATTTTTCCGTCACTAAGCTGCCACAGCACGCAGCCCTGCAAAAGCTGCTAGAAAAACTCTTGCTACAGAAAGGAAAACAGAAGTTCTTTGCCTCTTGTTTAGATGTTTCAAAAAGAATTTCCATTTTTTCCCTAACACAGGCTTGGTAACATTGTGAGGATGGAGGAAACCATGTAGCTTCCAACCCAACAGTAAGTGTTTCTTCATACCATTGACTTATCTGGACTTTTTTTTTGTTTTGTTTTGTTTTAGTTATTCAAGGCATTCTCCACTTATCACCCGTTCAATCAAATTCTAGTAGCTAAGGACAAATTGCTGAACCTCAGTTTTATCACCCAGATATTATCTTCATATCCTCAGGTGTTACAAAATAACATGAGGGAATTTTCATTCATTTCCCTCACTGCAGTTTAAAAGGAAAAATTCCGCATCTCTCATTCCAGAAACAACAAATCATGCTTCATTCTTCAACGCTTACAGCATCGAGGTTCCTACCATGACTTTAACAGGTGACTCCAAAATAAGCACTACACTTACATATTTACACTCTTTCTTGAGTGTGTATTTCTTGCTTCAGAGTTTTCAAGACAGCAGCAAGCAGCTTCACAGAAAGAAGACATCACACCTATCTGTCAGTGTTACTGGCTGGTCTTCAGCGATTCCCAAGCAAACTTAGCCTTAGCAAGCTCTCATGGTGTGAAAGAAAAACTCAGACCTTCCTAACTTAACGTAGCTCCTGTCATTTCAAAGGTACTTGTTCTGTTAGAATGCAGAACACTATCCATTTGAAAACTGGAGAAAAATACAAGCATGTTAGAATTGGCTTTTAATAACATGAAGCTTAATTCCTACCTGACCTTCTAGCTAAAGTGCCTGAGCCACTTTAGGAGCCACACTTCATGAAAGATACTCCAGGTTTTGTACTGCTAACATCTCTCTCATTTTTAATAGCATGCAACGTGCCTGTCAAGTCTTCTGCGACAGTGCAATTCTTACCTCAAGACTTTCACCCTGCACACTGGGAACATCACAAAGGAGACTTCACTAACCGTGGCCCTGCTGCCTGAAGACTCGTTTGAACCAGCTATTTTTGAGACCTCAACTTCTCTTGCCAGCTCTTTAAGTTAAGAGAAAGGCAATAGGGTAAACACAGCCTTCAGATGACACCAGCATTCCCACCAGAAAATACAAAGAACAAGTAAAATCCCGTCCAAGATTCACAGAGCCATCTGCTTCTTAAAATCCTCAGACTCATTAGAATAAAAATATTCTCCAGATACAGTCAACATTTGGACTGTGTATGCGCATTCTCCTAACAGGTATTTTTGGCTTGGTTTTTTAAGCATTTGTTAATTATGGTAGTCCAGGTCGAAGCAAGTCTATTAAATGCAATGATTTATAGAAGATAAAACACCTGTCAGTCCACTCTTCTAAGCCACATCTGGAATCTGCAGACTGCTTGCAGAATGAAGCTCAACTCTTCACTGGCTATATTCTTTTTTTTTTTTTCCTGACAATTCTGTTTCTCTTTCCTCTACCAGAAGGATTAAATGAACCAACCCACAGTAGGACATTTGTTGGTCACAATCAGTATCTATCCCAGTCTGGGGGAGCTATACAAAAATCTCCTCCAAAAAACTTGAAGGAAACCCTCCGTCAGACGGGGACATGACGGATAGTGCAGATGTGATGACCAAGCAATCCCACCAAGCGTTTAACTACATTACAGCATCCGCTTGAATGTGCTGATGTTTCTGCACTGAATGACACTCCTTCCTCATTCTTTGCTCTCATTCCAACTTCTGCCATTTTTTGCAACAAAAGCAAGTTCTGCTGTATGTGAGAAAACACACTGGGATTTGATACTGCCTGCATTATTACTGTATAGCACAAATCTATTACTATTATTACTATACCCTAAAAATGACTAGATATTCACATTTTTTGTCTGCTTTAGCTTTTGAGGCATGAATGGGAACAATGCATTTATCAGAACAGCTTTTCTTAAACCCTGTGCGAGCATATTCACTCATTTGCATCAGAAAATATTTCAAATTTTAGACTGCTGGAATATGCATATTAAATTGCACATTCCAACTTTTCCCACAACAGATTAAAATGCGTGTTCAATCAAACTTTCACTTTGTTGGAACACTTTAATTCTTCAGACTTACCAATAAATGTGTTTGTTTAACTTGAAAAAAATAAATGGCACTAAGTTTCTGTAGATCTAAGTAATCCATATTTTTGGAACAGCTAAGTTTCACGCGGATATGAGTCACTATATTTTGAAATACAGAATTCACACACAAACTTAAAACATTCTGATCTTGAGATATAAACAGGCTCATGAGTTTGTAATTCTATAGCACGCAATGAAAAACTAAGCTTGTGGTTTGTAAGGTCAAAAAAACCTCAATTTCACACAAGCTAAGTCTGTGGAGAGAATTAAGCCAGCTTTTTCTTCCACGTCTGCATCCTATAGGGAGGAGAGCTGGATCCGAGTTGTTCTGTCATGTAAGGAACACAAGCTTTCCAAATACAAAGAGACAAACCCTAAAAGAGCAGTTATTGTACTATTAATTCTTAGTGGCCAAAAAACCCAAACGATTATTTTGGGTCCTTTGCTCCCCAGCTGACGTGCTTTACTATTAATTCTTAGTGGCCGAAAAACCCAATTATTTTGGGTCCTTTGCTCCCCAGCTGACGTGCAGTGATTTTGTATGATCTAGCTCAGCTGCACAGGCTTCACCCATATTAAGTGTTGGAAATTTTTTTTTTACATAACTGCTGTAACATGACATTTTCCTGCTCTGTACAAGCAAAAGCAAAAATTCATGACAAGAGGGAAAAGCCGCAGTGCTGCGATTTGGGCAGCCCTCACAAGCTAAGGGCCCGGGAAGCCAATGCCATTGCTCCGTGAGAGGTGACACGCCGAGATGACATCACACCGCGCATGTACCCAGGCCTGAGGACAAAGGGGGGAATGTTTACAGCCAGCCCAGATACAGTCACAATGCATGGGATCATCACTTCTGGACGCTCTTTGTATGAACAGCAGGACAGACCCGGAGCTTTGTCAACACAAACGCTTCTGTAACAGAAAGCTGCAAAAGCCTCCAGCCTCCTCATAAACACACAAAATACAAAGAGGGTAAAGCCCCGCACTCCTGCCGCTGGAACAATTTCAAAACCTATCAAATCATTTAGGAAAACCACAGCCTATTAGAAGAACACACACAGGATCCCTCTGCTCAGACATTCCGTTGCACCCTCTGTAAGAGGGTCTACATACATTTTGCTAACCAAAAAAAATATTTAAAAAGGCAGCAAAACATGACAGAAGATATCAGGAACACAGGCATTAAGACAGCTTTTCCCGGGTAGAGATCCATCATCTAAGTATATCCTTTCTAAGCTTTCTCATCCTTAACAATCAGGCTGGTTTACTTGCAGAGTTACATAATCTTTATCCTGCTCTGTAAAGCTGCAGCGACACGATTTTGATGTGAGCAAGAGACTTTTAAAGGAGCTATTTCTAAATTACTACAATTCTGTTGAAATCGTGAAGTTGCTAAATTAAAACATCACATCTTGCTGACATTCCTAAGATTAGAACAACCTGTACACGCAGCCTGTGATGAGGTAAGAGCGTAACCACGTCTCCCTGTACACAACGGAGCCATTTTATCATGGCCAAGTGGGAGGAACACACATTTAAACACACGTCTTCAGCGTTATGATTTAAAAATCACAATTACATGCTGACAGTTGTTCATTTTCTTTAATTTCCAGATCATCTTAGACTGAAAAATTGTTGGTTTTCTTTTACTTAGCATACTGGCTAGACAAAATTCAACCAATTTTATTTCTTTTCTGTTTATAGTTTTTGTAACATCTCCATCATTGACAGAATCCAGTTCTGTGCTTTTTACACCAGCTACAACTAAAACTTAGCTGATTTTCATAACAGCACTTTTATCTTCTCAGTCCCAAAATTTTTTGTCCTCTCCCCTTTACTCCGAAACAACAGAACATCAGACCCCCAAATCTTTTAACCAGCTTAATTGCTTTGAGAAGGCTGGCATGAGAGCGTTCTAGCTCACACAAGGCTTGGTAACAAAGTAAATC